ATAGATAGATAGATAGATAGATAGATAGATAGATAGATAGATAGATACTTTTTTAATCCCCAAGGGGAACTTCATCAGTAATATAATGATATGAATACTTTAACCCTTTAAAGCCTTTATCAAAGAATAAAACAAAACTGAAAATTATTATTTTTTGGTTTGAATTCCTTATTTGGCCTTTTAACAAAATATGTAAAAAGAAAAAACAGAAATATATTTTTGATATTAGTAATTTATTACTATGCGATAAATCAAGATTATTTTTTGTGTAGTCTTCTGCCCCCTGTTATCAGGTGTATCTGATTGTGTAAGATAGGCTTTTTACCATTAAATTATGCAAAAGGTGTCAGACGCAAAACATTTCAGAAACCGTATGCATCAAATATGACACATTTGGCATTATAGGGTTAATAGACACTGTGTCAAACTCCTCTGTGTCAAACTTTATTGGAACAGAAACTTTTGGAGGCCCACGAGGAGCAGAACAGCGAGGCGTTCACGGAGGCCGTGAAGGAGTTCGACTCCGTGTCCCGCCTGGACCAATGGCTGACCACGATGCTGCTCCGCATCAAAAAGACCATCCAGGGAGACGCCGGGGACCTGAAGTAGACACAAATCCAACCAGAGGGGGTAAAACAGAGGAGAGGGACCAAGGAAGGGGGGTTTCTAAAGAGAAAGAAATGGATGGGTGGATTAAAATGGGATTATGATGGTGTAAAGGAGGGTTGATGGGACTGAGGGAGTTTAAAGTTGTACATATCAGTCTGCATGTGGCCCCCAGTCAGCTAAGCATCACCTTTAAATCACCATTAGACGACCCTGTATCCCGTCTTACAGTATTGCCCCGTAACACTGGACAGAATTATGAAGAATGGGAAGGAAATGTGTGTGAGTGGGTGACGAAGAATGTGTGTGTGCGTCTAATCCTGTGAGGTTATTTCAACTGTTTGACGGGGAAGTGTAAAACTTAAATAAGATATAAAGATATATGTTACTGTAAATGGGGTAAAAATGTTATTTACGAGAATGTTCATATTTATTGTCAATACTGAGAATAATTATCGTTTATTCTGGTGCTCAGTGTTACGATTCGTCTCGATCTTTTTAGGTATTAGTCCTCTACTTCCCTCTTTTCTTGCCCCCCTTACTTCCTCCTCTCCTCTGTTCTACCTCCACCTCTGTCTCGGCCTATTCCTGCCCCCAAAAACCCCATCAGAATCAGTAAAATCACCCATTGTGATGCGTTTGTTCTTTGTGTTCAAGCCAATTGGAGGAGGTGTGCAGTCGTCGCTGCCTTGTTTGTGCATGTCTGCTGTCATGTTGATGTAAGTGTTCTCTGTGTTGTGCTGACGTGTGAAGAGCATACGCGTAGCCTGGTATCATTTGTGTGAAATCAGTAAATATGTACCTCAGATATTGAATTGAAATAAAAACATCACAACACATACCTGTCTTTTTTTTTTTCAAAACTTGTACAAATATAAACATGACTTGAATTGATTCCACCTTAAACTGAAAATAAACATGTTTTATTTGGTCATTTTACACTAAACCATTGGAATTCACAAATTTCCTTCATAACTCTGTAGCTAGTTTTCACTGGTATTTTTTATTCTTAGAATGGTTCTCAAGTGTTCATACCTAATAATATGCACTGCAATATGTAGAGCTTTTATCTCTTTACATTACAAAGCCTGTAATTGTTTGTAAAGAAATCTACTATTTTACATCAGACTCAAAACCTTGTTTGAGTCCGTTTTCTATTTTCTTTTGCTTGAGCAGTCTTTTAAAAAAGCATGAATAGAATAAGATACAGGTTAAAAATGTTTTATCATTGTATACACTGAGCATACACGAGACTCAGATGAACTCCACAAAATGATATCACTTCAAATTATTTTTTGGATTACTTACTATCAATTCAAGTATTGAATAGAAAACCAAGTGATCTCTCTTTTATCTGTGATTTGGAGTAACACAGATATAGGTTATTTAAGGGTCTATTTAACAGCATCAATAAGGTATAAATGAATCATCAGTGCTGTCAGTTTATTTGAAGATAACTATATCTGCAAATTCGTTAGACCTTCATGAGAGAGAAAAAACATTTTTTTTAAATGAGCTGGAACTACTTTCTAATGAAAAAATGCAAACGGTTTGTTCCGGTTTCGGTTTCTGAAATATCAGGCCCAATAAATGTTTGAATTAGTAATTATTGGTTTAGGGTAAAGCATTGAAACCTATACTGGCAAGAGACATGTAAATGATGATGTCTGAGGAAGATGTTAGATTAAAGATACGAGAAAAAGGCTTGCGGAGGGGGAGGTATTTTAGTGCAACACTTAAACGATAATACCCATAATTCCTTTCGTTGCATCAATTGTAGCTAAAGTTTCCGGTGAATTCATGTGTGCTGGCCGCTCCATAGCAGCGCTCCGTGTGCAGTTGTGTTTTTTTTTATTGTGAATAATTGGCTGAACGTTGAGTTTTATTCAGTTATTACATTTAGATTAAAAGGAGAGGCAACAGAAAGTCGTCAAGATGCCGCGAATTATGATAAAAGGAGGCGTTTGGCGCAACACTGAGGTACGTGTTTACATGGCTAGCTTGGTTAGCACGATGCTAATTTACGTAGATCAGATTGATGGGTTTAAATTAGCCTGAAGCTAACTGCTTATTTACGGAATATTGTTGACATAGAGAGAAAGTCCAATTTGTGTAGCTGCCAGTTTATAGTACTAATGTGAAGTTGAGTATTAGTTTGCCCCATCTACAACCTGAGGAAACGTATATTTAGATACTGAAGACGGATACATCATTAGCAAACATTTCTGCAAGATTTAACACTTCATGAGCAGTTCATCCCCCTAAAAAGTATTACTACTTCTGTGGAAATCAGCGATTTTACGCTAATAATCACAAAATGCACCAGACTATTTGCCCCACTTGATCACTTTACTTGTATAATAATTTGTTAGTAAGGACTCTTTTCCAAATCCAATCCTGCCTTCATTCACACTCCAGAAGTTCAAATTATAAGTGGGTTATTTGCAATAAAAAATAAACCTACAAAATATCAACTTCATTAGAATTGGTTAACGTTTATAAGAGGGGATTTATCATGGGATCGTTCAATAATAAATTGCATTAATATCCTTATTACTGTTTAATTAAATGTAAATGTGACAACAGGTATGGCAGAAAATAATTAAATGAGGACCAGGCAAAAAAAAGTTGCCTTTCGCTGACTTTTTTCTGTTGACACAAGCACAGCTTAGGGAAATGAAACAACGTTTCTTTTACACCTGTTGACACTTTGAACTTTTATTTAAGTTGTTTGCAAAGTAACAAAAAAGAGGTAATTGTTTGTCTTTTGTTCACTCATTGATGCTTACATCTTTGACCACAAAGATTCATTCAGAACAGTTACCAGTGTAGATGGGTATATTAGTCATAAAGGAGATAATTAGGGAGCAAGCAAGGTAAAACAAGTAAATATAAATATTCTTAAGAAACAAGCGCAAAGCCATTTGCTCAGTATTTCATGGTAACAAGTGATATCAGGAGGATATCTCATCATTATCATCATTATTGCCTGTCTAAAAATTTCTCTGACTTGATTAATTTCTTTAGGATGAGATCCTCAAGGCGGCGGTGATGAAATATGGGAAAAACCAGTGGTCTCGTATCGCCTCCCTGCTTCACCGCAAGTCTGCCAAACAGTGCAAAGCCAGATGGTGAGTCCTCACACAGAGGTTACCTGAAAGCACAGTTTCACCAAAATCCCATTTTTAAGTTGTTACCAGCTTTACAGAAGACGTGAGACCACTTTGGGATAGATGGCTGATTTCTGAACTTTTTCATATTAGTGAGGGAGTTTTTGTTTCTTTGAGGTGCAGATTGATGGTTGACTTTTGTCCGTGTGCAGGTACGAGTGGCTGGACCCCAGCATCAAGAAGACAGAATGGTCCCGAGAAGAAGAGGAGAAGCTGCTGCATTTAGCCAAGCTGATGCCCACTCAGTGGAGGACCATTGCTCCCATTATAGGACGCACTGCAGCCCAGTGTCTGGAGCACTACGAATACCTGCTGTACGGTTTCAGTATTTTCTTCTATTAACTCTAGTGCTAAAAAGAGGAGACTTCTTCTATTTGTTTTGATATTTTTTGGTGATTTCCTTGTGCCACAGAAGGAGTTTCTCTTGTATGTTCTGTCAGAATTTGTGTCTGCACCTAAAAATGGTGCTTTGATCATTCAGGATTCGCTCAGGAACACTTTCCTGAGGTTATTCTTTACGCTCCGTCTGAATTCTGCTTTGTTTAGAGACAAAGCGGCGCAGAGAGACAACGAAGAAGAGGTGGGAGATGATCCCAGGAAGTTAAAACCGGGAGAAATCGACCCAAATCCGGAGACCAAACCCGCCAGGCCTGATCCTGTGGACATGGATGAAGGTTTGATAACACCTCAGATACCGTCACCGATCAGCTTTAGAAGAGTTTTTACGTATTTACATGTATGCATTTAGCTGACACTTTTATCCAAGTGACAAAAGGATTAAGGGGTTCATATGATAAGGAAGTTAAATATATAGTTAGTGATTAGTTTGTCATGAAAAGTTTGACCAGCATTGTATGTGTTACACCCAGAAACTAAAGAATAATGTGTTTTTCTTGGTCTCCAGATGAGTTGGAGATGCTGTCGGAGGCCAGAGCTCGTCTGGCCAACACGCAGGGCAAGAAAGCCAAGAGGAAGGCCAGAGAGAAGCAGCTGGAGGAGGCCAGGTAGAAATGACCCAAAAAAATCCTCATTATTCACACAGATTTAACTCATTGACTGGCAGCCATTTTCAGAACAGAGTCCCATACTGCCAGAGTTTTTTGAGCATTTTGACTGATTTTTCAAGAGCCACAGAATAGTTTGTGCTATGACTATGTAAACACCGAACACACCAAAAGAAAGAGTAGACTCTCTTCTTTCATCAGGAAAAAAAAATTGTTTCTACCTTATTCCGTTCTTCCTCGACGTGCGTCTCACCGGCGACATGTTCTCTCATAGAACCGTTACCTTTTTCTTATTTGCCTACAGTCAATGCTCATCTCCCATCAAAAGTGGCACTGCCCCCTAGAGGGTCAATTTGTTACTACATACTCTGTCTAGAAGCCGATATTTACGGACAAGCTTTAGCAGATCGTCCCCCAGCCACTCGCGTTGAAAAACGTAAAAGACGTCTATAGACGTCTTTGGCAGCCAATGAGTTAAAAAGGAAAGCATGGACTCATCAGGGTTTGTGTTTCTGCTGCAGGCGGCTGGCTGCGCTGCAGAAACGCCGCGAGCTGAGAGCCGCGGGGATCGCCGTCCAGAAGAAGAGGAAGAAGAAGAGAGGCGTGGACTACAACGCTGAGATCCCCTTTGAGAAGAAGCCCGCGCCGGTACCTACCACCGGGCTCCGGCTTTAGGCTGTTTATCACTGCTCATCACTTCTCGTTTGGACCTGGAAGTATTCAGGGTTGTTTTTGTTTGTTTTTAGGGTTTCTATGACACCAGCATGGAGCAGTACGACGCCCAGGAGCCGAACTTCAAACGCCTCCGACAGCAGCACTTAGACGGAGAGCTGCGCAAGTCAGTAACACTTAAACCGTTCCCTACACACACACACACACACACACACACACACACACAGACACTCACACACACACACTCCTCTGTTTAACTTTATCCTTTCAGTAGTTTTAACGTTAAAGTGCTGCTCAAAGTTCACTGGACAGCGAATCAAGTTTGTCAAAACCAAACCAATTACACACAAAAAAAGCAGTGAGTGCATTCAAGTAAAAATTATAATACATTTCATTTTTAAAAAGCGCCTTTCATGCCGCTCAAGGACACTTTACAAAGAGAATCAACATTGAAACACAAGAAAACATACAAAGTCATAAATACATCATAAATAAAAAACATCTTAAATGAATTAAATAAAAATGGAATAAATAAAACTGTGCAAAAATGGGGGGAATGTTAGTTAGGGGTGGTGAGGTGGGTAATAAATTTAGGAACCTTTAATTAAATTTACCCTAAATTTACCCTAGGAGGTGGGTTTTGAGTTTTGTTTTGAAAAGAGGGAGAGAGTACACAACACTGTGTTTGTTAAGGCTGCAAACGGCAGCGTACAGCCGCACAAATGTGTGTGTTTTCACCCGTAACCCCGTTCACACACAGCGACCGAGAGGACAGGGACCGGAAGAAGGACAAACAGAAGATTAAGAAGAAGAAGGAGAGCGACCTTCCATCCGCCATCCTGCAGACCAGCGGCGTGGCCGAGTTCACCAAGAAGCGCTCCAAGCTGGTGCTGCCCGCTCCCCAGGTAACTGACCGTCCTGTTGGGGGGGGTTAGGGTAACCCTAACCCCACTGTGTGGGAGGGGATTTAAAATAAATCTACAAAATATAAAATAGGATCTTCCTGTGTTGGCATTTCGGATCATTTGTTTTGCTACATTTAGTGCAACACCTTCAATCTCCCCAAACCCCAACTGCTTTTTCTCAGATAAAAAGAAAATAAAAATACACCCAATCCACCTTTATTTATATAGCACGATTTAAACAAACACAGGGTTTTCCAAAGTGCTGCTCAAAAACTTATCAAAGAAAAATAAATAACACAGTAGAAATTCAGCTAAAAGTTAAAAAAATATGCAGAAGTATACATAGAATCAACACTCTCCATGGTGCCAAAAAGCCAAAGAAAAGAGGTGGGTCTTAAAAAGAGTTTTTAAATGAGACAGAGAGGTGGCCTGTCTAACGTGCAGAGGCAATCCATTCAAAAGTTTTAGAGCTGCGACGGAAAACGCTCGCTCCCCTCTGAGCTTAAGCCTTGCTTTAGGCTCTTGTCCCAGCTCTGTCTCCGTAGCAACCATTGCCTGCTTTGTCCCGTAGATCAGCGACGCGGAGCTGGAGGAGGTGGTGAAGCTGGGCGTGGCCAGCGAGGTCGCCCGCCAGGCCGCGGAGGAGAGCGAGGGCGCCAACTCGGCCTCGTCCACCCTGCTGTCGGAGTACAGCGTCACCAACAACATGGCCACCGGGCTCAGGACCCCGCGCACCCCCGCCGCCCAGGACAGGATCCTGCAGGTGAGCACATCTATCATCCGATCTGATGTTTAACTCATTGACTGGCAGCCATTTTCAGAACAGAGTCCCATACTGCCAGAGTTTTCTGAGCATTTTGACTGATTTTTCAAGAGCCACAGAATAGTTTGTGCTATGACTATGTAAACACCGAACACACCAAAAGAAAGAGTAGACTTTCTTATTTCATCAGGATAAAAAAACAGTTTCTACCTTATTCCGTTCTTCCTCAACTTGCGTCTCACCGGCGACATGTTCTCTCATAGCGAACCGTTACCTTTTTCTTATTTGCCCACAGTCTATGCTCATCTCCCATCAAAAGTAGCACTGCCAGCTAGAAGGTCAATTTGTTACTACATACTCTGTCTAGAAGCCGATATTTACGGACAAGCTTTAGCAGATCGTCCCCCAGCCACTCTCGTTGAAAAACATAAAAGACGTTTATAGACGTCTTTGGCAGTCAATGAGTTAAAGGAGACATATTATACCCTATTTCAACAAGTTTAACTAGTTCCCTGGTGTCCTAATGGGATGTCTGTAACAAGCTTTGGTCAGAATCCCATAAGGATGAAGCCCAATAGCAGTTCAATCCCCCTGCCTAACCCTAACCCTAACCCTAACCCAAAACAGCCCCGTTCAGAGCGCTCGCTTTGGAGTGCCTGTCTCTTTAAATGCAAATGAGACACAGGCAATCCACCCACTTCTTCTGGGAGGTGTGCCCACGTCGGCACGCTAATGCTACCATGCTAACGCTACCATGCTAACGCTCACGCTACCAGGACGTCTCCACAGATAGGGGAGTAAGCTGAGGGGGGGGCAACATGCAGGTGAAAGGCTGGAATATTATAATGAGCTAGAGCTAATGACGTCAGAAACTACCCACTCCTGAAACCTCCCGATTTATCTCCTGGATTCAGACTGAGGCGGCCCACAAAAACATGACTGAGTCATTTTTTTTCACACTTTGCCTGCTGATAGGCCCTCCACAGTCCCAAATGTACATAATCACATGATTAAAAACTTGGTTTTGCATAATATGTCCCCTTTAATCCTCTTTGTGTTTAAACATTTGTGGCCTCCCTCTTTCAGGAAGCCCAGAACCTGATGGCTCTGACCAACATCGACACCCCCCTGAAGGGGGGCCTCAACACGCCGCTGCACGAGAGCGACTTCAGCGGCGTCACCCCCCAGAGGCAGACGGTGCAGACGCCCAACACCGTCCTCACCACGCCCTTCAGGTACCCCTTTCTGCTCTGGACCAAAACTGAAATTATCAATCAGGCTACGATCATCAGGTCTTAATACATGAGGCTTGTCCTGATCCCATATTTGGATCGGATCGGCCAGTGTTTGGCCTCCCCAACTTTACTCCTCTGTGTTCCCATTTTAAATACAAACACACACGTGGGAACAGAGTTTATAGGATTTAGGATTAAATATCCATGAAAGACATGTGCTGCAACATGTAAAGAAGACAAATAAATGACTCTAGGCTGGTCCCGATCCGATATCTGGATCGCATCGGCCGCAGATATTCGCAAAAAACTGCGTATCGGCTTGCAGGAGAAAATGCAGATCCAGACTCCAGATCCAGTTTTTTTTTTTTAAAGTCCGATCCCACATTAGCATTACCCTTAGCATTAGCATCTGTAACCCACAGGTCTGTGTCCTAACCATTAAGTTGTTATCAGAGTAAATCCCTGTTCAACATGAGTCTGACAACTAAGTAAGTAGCTAAATAACTTTAAACTTTAATACATGCTCTGATAGGCTGGGATCGGGACATCCCTAATCCAGACTCCAGATCCAGTTTTTTTTTTTAAAAGTTTTTTCTAGCGGAAAATTCCATTCCACTTTGCTGTGTTGTTCCGGTTCCTTTCATTTTGTTTGTTCTGGTCCGGTCATTTTCGAGCACACCTTTAAGCAAAGAGTAAATCCCTGTTCAACATGAGTCTGACAACTAAGTAAGTAGATAAATAACATTAAACTTTAACACATGCTCTGCTAGGCCGGGATCGGTGTCGGAAGTTTAAAAAAAGCTGGATTGGGACATCCTTATATAACACACATCTGTCTTTTTGTGCCCTCCGACAGAACTCCCGGGCCGGGCCAGGGTTCGGAGGCCATGACGCCCGTGGCGGGAGGAGCTCTGACCCCCCGGGGGGCGGTCACTCCGGGCCTGACCCCCGGACGCACGCCCCTGAGGGACAAGCTGAACATCAACAGCGAGGAGCAGCTGGCCGACCCCACCTTCGCCAAACACCTGGTAACTAGGGGTGGGGCGGTTCACAAAATCCACGGTTCGGTTCGATTCACGGTTTCGTGGTCACGGTTTTCGGTTTGGTTCGGTATATGTTGATTGTTAGGAAAATCTATCATGTGTTGTATAGTCAGGTTAAAACTGAAAGAAAAAAGCAGTCTGACATTTGATACATCATTGTGACAGTCTTAGGTTAAAAGTAGGTGAGATTCTGGGATTGCAAGAGAGGAAACAGTGCTAATTCCAACATGTGCTTCCCTCTAAATGCAAACTGGTCCATACAGCAGACCTATAAACTGCTGTTGGCGGTCTGATTTTTATTATCGGCTACGCTGCTTCGCTTCTTCTTCTTGTTCACTACTGGTGGTTAGCTTTGGGCGCAGTAGCGCCCCCTTCTGGTCTGGAGTGAACACGCTTCCCTCTGAGAAAAAGGAGCAGCATGAACCGAACGCAACACACGCGAACCGAACCGAGAGGTAGGGATGGGACGGTTTTCAGAAACCGTCCCATCCCTACTGGTAACCAATCGCACAAACCCCGAAACCCCGAATCGCACAAACCCCGAAACCCCGAATCGCACAAACCCCGAAACCCCGAATCGCACAAACCCCGAATCGCACAAACCTCCAAACCCCGAATCGCACAAACCCCGAAACCCTAAATCGCACAAACCCCGAATTGCTTAGTGGGTTGCCTGGTGACTGACCTACCCCCCCCCTGCAGCAAAAGGAGAGCATCCAGCAGCTGAGGCAGGGCCTGATGGCGCTCCCCGTGCCCAAGAACGACTTCGAGATCGTCCTCCCCGAGAACGCAGAGAAAGAGCTGGAGGAAACCGAGGCGGAGACGGGATTCATCGAGGACTCGGCCGAAATAGACAGCCGCAAGCAGGTAAACACTCACACTCACACTCACACACACACACACACACACACACACACACACAC